TCAAATACTATTATGTATTTTAGGTATGTGTGTGTGTGTGTGTGTGTGTGTGTGTGTGTGTGTGTGTGTGTGTGAACTGTATGTATGTATGTGTATGCATGTTTGTGTATTGACAAGAATAAAGGTGTGACATTGTAACATAAATGTGGGGAATTTAAGAGTATGCTTCAAATAGAAAAAGAGAAATTCATATTTGCTGCAGGTAGCGATGAGAGTCTTGTTTAGTAGCTGCTTCCTGTCACGGAGTTTGAATCGGGGTCCTCGATTCAAGGGACCGTGTCTTTGACCATCCTCTACTTAGAGAGCAAAGGATGGACAGGTGCATGGACGAATGGCTAGTGTTAGCAATAAAACAAATGTTGGTGTCTACCATTCAACTAACAGAGTAACAACACTGGGCCCGTGGAGGGTCTTGTTCAGTGTGCATCAACTCCCCAAGGCTGGGCTCTTATCCCCCCCGCTCCTCCTCCTGCTCTTTCCCTCTGCTGCTGGTGATGTGAGAAGAGAAGGAAAGCAAGGGATGAGTGCTCTGCTTCTACACAGCAGATGTTGGGGGAATGTGGGACTGAAGTATCAGCGAGGCAAAGACATAGAATCTAATGATTGATAGAGTCTCCGAGAGCAGAGAGCTGCTGCTGCTAAATTTCCCATGTGCCTCTCTGGGTAGTGTAGGTGTAATGACACAGAGAGGCAGACAAATAAACCTCTGCTTCAGTTTAAATAAAGCCTGAACAATCTGAAGCATGTGGTTTGTAGAAAAGGACACACTAAGAAATGCTTTACTTGTATACTTTAACCTGTTGTTTAGTTTTTTTTTAAATCACCAGATGTTAAAACATACTTTAGTAAGTGCAATACAATAAGGGGAACATGAGAACATCATGAACTTGGGATACAAGTGAGTAGGTCGCCATTATCAGTAGGTGTCTGTCGATATGTGAATGTGCCACCTGTGCATACTTTATGTAAATAATTCATGTGGTAAGATGTTATTGTTTTTTATGGTGTATATGTAGTATGTAGGATTTTCATTTTCTGTTGAACTGCAGGACGGAGCCCAGAACACATTTTCTTACGGGAACATTAAAGTATATTGTGTTTTATTGTATCACATCGAAATGATGCCTCCAATGTGAATTAAAAGAGTAAATAAATGTATCATACAAAGTTGAATATTCATAATCAAGACACCTACAGTATATAAAGTATTATGCTCTTCCATTAAACTTACTTATCTCCAGCTTAATATATCACTCTCAGGTCAAACTTAAAAAAACATGAGCCGTTTGTTAAGTATGACATGTTGCAATAGTTAAAATAGAGTTAACTAGGATATTAAAGTTGGGTTTAAGGAACGGGAAAAACAAGTAAATAAAAGGTTGGATGCTGCTGGAATGGAAACAGTATTGCCTGATTGCAGCAGGAAACAGCCCCAACAGCAAGACATGGACCAGCACACACAAAGGCATTAGACTTTTCCTCCAGTGAAGGAACTGCTGATCCATTAACTAGCCGACTGAATGTATCAGGCAAAACTGTGACATGCATCACTTCAGGAAACCTACACACGCGTCTATTCTGAAGGAAATAAAATACAGCCACAGTAGAATAGCGAAAGCACGGGTTTAGAGAGAAAGAAAACATCATTAAATTCCTCCACAATCAGAACAATGTTGTATGCTACTGACTGAAGCCTTCGCTGACTTAACAGGAAGTGACTTCTTGCACCCATGAGCCCTACACCAATGTTAATTTAATGGCATCCTCTAGTATTCTTTACTCATATTTCCAGTTTCTTAACCCATTAGTATCTGTGCTGGGGCAGGCTTTGTTTGATGGTGTGAGTGTGGCTGCCATGGACTGGACTAGAGGGTATTATTCTGCATTGATTGTTCATCGGGCTGGCTTTGTACCGGGTCACGAAAGGGAAATTCATTAGCATGCGCATTCTCTCTGTGGCATTTTGGCAGGGCGACAAAACAGTTATCCTGAAATGTTGCATTGGGAATTAAAAAGCCTTTGCTTGTTGGTAACCAGGGGACGTCCTCTGCTGCTTTTAACCTCTCGTTCAATACCAGAGCATTTCTAAAAGGCTGAGGGCTCTGTTTAAACTAATCTGTGGGGAATTACTGTAGATATTGTTCTGGCTGCTGCCTAACAAGCTTAACTAAACCAAGCAATGTGGAAAATACTGTAAGTTATGTGTTTGCACACTTTAATTAGAAATGTAAGTAATTTTTTTCATGTTTCTCAAGGTTCAAGGTTCTTTATTTGTCAAACGAACCTAGCTACAGTGTAGTTATGTCGATGAAAATCTTGTGTCACAGGCTTCTCTAACAGTGCAACACAAAACACAGATGTACAGAAAAATATAGTGCAAGTAAATAGTAAATACAAGAAGAAAAATAGTGAAATAGTGCAATAAGAGTCCATGCAAGTCATTGAAATATGATATATTAGGTAAATAGATAAATATTTTTTAAGTAGCAGCCAGATGAATATTGTGGATGTTGTTTCAACAGTTCAGGTGTTTAACAGTCTTATTGCCTGTGGGATGAAACTGTCCCTGACTCTGGTGGTTTTAGTCCGGATGCTGCGGTAGTGCCTGCCAGACGGCAGCAGACAGAACAGTTTCTTCTCTGTTTCTCTCGTAAAAATAGCTCAGTCTTCAGGCAGAGATTGAGTAAACCAGGGTTTTTACTTTGACCTAAATGAAATAACCCGTGTAATAAGAAAAATGACTCTGAACAAATGGAACCAGTTTTCAATTACACAATTTATGTACTTTCAAATGCTACCAAATTCCCCTGGTCTGCCTGGCAGGACCATAAACAGAATTGATGGGTCTCCACGTCTCAAAGTTGCCTCTTGTGGTCCAGGGAAAGATTTATTTTAATACCTTGCATTTCTCTTGCTCTGAAATATTGCACCTGTGTAGATATCATAAAAAAAGTCCAGAGAACTGGAAAAGATTTGTGCGGGTTAAAAGAAAGAAGAAGAAAAATCCAACGTATATTTCTTCGTGATCCAGAGAGATTGATGAAAGACACACAGGAATCTGCAGCATTAATATGCATTTGATATTATGTCAGCTAATGAGATCCGTTCAGATGATTTAAAGAAGATAAGGTTGTTGTTTTTGATCTTGAATCTTCTTTTGTCTCCCAATTAGGTGGTCTGTGCATTTCTCAGTCTGTGAAAATACCCCGAGAACCGAGACCTGGAGAGTTTGACAAGATCATTCGCCGGCTGAGTGAGAACCCTAACGCCAGAGTGGTCATTATCTTTGCCAACGAGGACGACATCCGGTGAGTATCTTCCCTGCTTTCAATTATAGAACTTTTAACTCAACTTGTCGAAACCACTGCTTGATACTCCCTTTATAACATTTACATCACACTTTGTGTTCGATAAGTTGTGAGGAAACATTAAGGGAGAGCGGTTTAAGAGTTTTTAAAAAATCGGCTAATGTCTCTTGTGATAAATGTTGTTAAGAAATGTTTTTACCAGCCTCCTCTGTCCTCCAATTGTTAACTGTATTAATGGCACCTGTTTGAACTCGTTATCTGTATCAGTAGGAATTAAATAGCATTTTCCTTGTGAAAAGTCTATTTAATCTCTGCTGCTACCTGAGTTAAAATGGCAAATATGATTCTATTTGGCTGTAATCACATTTTCTAAATGATTGTCTCCTAGGATGTTGTAACAGGTAGATAGTAGACAAATTGTAGCCCTGCGGAATAACTTCACAGTTGAGAAACTGTACATTTCTAAGGACTTCTTTGAGGATTTTCCACTTCATGCTACCTTAAAAAGTGTACCTTTGGATGGAAACAGTGCATTATTAAGCCATTTATTTGACAGAGCTGGTTAAGTTAACATAAAACACATTTATCAATAGGTGAATCTACTGAGACTTTATAAGTGAGGGTTTAACTGCACTCCAAGGTCATGTTTGAGGTCATGTGATATCATGGTGTCGTATTGAGGGGCATTAAATTCTAATTATTGAGTCCACTCTCTTGTTCTATCCAACTGAAAGCTCTGACATTTAGTCTGGTGTCCCTATCTATTCTGACCACACTATTATGAAAGTACATTACCAGTGACTCAGCATTCCTTGTGGGGACACAAATGTATCAATTCAAATGAATTCTCTAATATTAAGACTGCATTAAGAACTAGTTAATTAGCTGTAGGCTGAATCAACACACACAGTCCAGTTAGTAGGCCAGTGTATTCCTGGTGGAAGTGGGCAGTGATTTGGGGTGGTCTCTTGATGATGTCCAGGGCAGAAGCCCCAGTGCTCATTGACTTAATCCAGTCCTGATAAGGGGTAATAGTGTGGATATATAGTAATTACAAAAAGCCAGGGGGATTTCAGGGCTGCATGCCTGCTTTATCCTTGAACCCAGTCAGTGAGAGCTGGCAGCAGCTTATTAAGAATCCAAAACTGTCTACACAGAAAGTATGAGCTGTTTGGAGGGAGCCCTATAGTGTTGAACTAAATAGAAATATACCTCCTCATCTCAGCCTCTTAAACAAAGGAAAATGAGTGCTTCGTTTTTATAATCTCTGGTAGATTGGTTTGTCCTTGGTTGTTATTGAGAAAAAAACATGGCTTCATATAAATAAATAGGAGTACATTTAATTAAATAATCTTGTACTGTGCACTTCAATCACGTAAACATTAAAAACCCTGATTACTTAATGATAAAAACATAATGTATGTCTCATTCACATAAGCACAATTGGTATTTTTAATCCAACTTAAACTCACTCTCGGCAACAAGTCATAACAAACTACTGGATCAAGCTTAAGGTAAAGACAAACGTTATATATATTGAGTCATTTCCATAATGTTGTCGGACACTTATTTTGACAATCTGAGCCTGTCAGCGGCAACAAATAACCTCTTATAGCAGACATAAGTTGCCGTGAGGAATTGCATGGAGTGATTACATTGCAGTCTGTTTAGCTGCTGCCACCTTTTGCATTCTCGGACCAATTTCAGATAAGTGTTCGCTAAGATACAAAAACATGAGGAAATAGGCCTCGGGTTTATCTTTATTGGGAGTTGGAAAGTGAATATGAGCGGTTGAAGTTGACGGGAACATGCCCATCCACAACCTCAAACAGCACCTTCACTGTAGACTTATCAGCCTGTGGAGTCATTTCTCTGTTATGTAATCTCCTGACAGTAAGAACATTTATGTTTCTCATTTTTCCTACATGGAGAACATAAGTACATCTCAAGAAATGCTCATTTCACTAGATTTCTGGAGCCAAGACTCAAAATCATTACCAATCAAACAAATGTCCCTGTGGTGATAAAACTAAGGTTAGAAGACATAAAGTTAATTAGATTACTCTTTGCTCATCCACTCCACATTGGACTATTACTAGAAATATGTAGCAGGCATACCTTTTATATTTGGTATGGCATCCTTCCTAATACAACTGCAACACTGAGGGATGTTAAGACTGCATGTTCAATATAAAAAAAGCGGTTTAAAATACAGTAAGATGCTTAATGTGATTTTTTTCTTGGTTCCAGCATCTTTGGGAAAATACGAGGGGTGGTAATGCCTCCCCGTCTAGGTGGCTGTGTTTAAATTTTATGTTGCTGTGCTCAAGCTTTCCTGATATATTATCCCTCCGCTGCTACAGCCGAGCTCGCCTGCAGTTTTTTTTTTACAGCTCCCCAAACTTACTTCCATTGGCAACAAGCCTGGACAAATGTGGCAGGGGTGTCATTCTGCCACAGTAAGGAAGAAATACTCCGCACTGGAAATGCAAAGTGTCTCTGTAGTGGCTTTACAATTCTACTTGTGCCTCAATGCAACTTTGGCAAGACTCAGAATAGAAAACTCTAGTTATGGGATAACCTATATGACACCGCACTTATTCATAATGATGCATTTAAAGAGCCTTTTGACATTGCATTTTCTTTTTAATACAGAAATTCACGAAAGCCTTTTAAACTCAACATTAAATGTGACTATTAAACTGTTCTCATGTGTCTCTCAAAAGGCGGCTCCTCCAAGCAGCGAAAAAGGCGAATCAAACCGGCCATTTCATCTGGGTAGGTTCAGACAGCTGGGGCTCCAAAATCTCCCCCATATTGAACCAGGAAGAGATGGCCGAAGGAGCCGTCACTATCCTCCCCAAACGGCAATCCATAAAAGGTATACATTACTCAAACGCTAGCAATACTTCTGCCATGCTTCTGCCTCTTGTCTGCTTGTTGTAGTGTATGTTGGTTTCCAATGAACACATTTCTTTACATACATAATTTGTTTTGAGAGATTATTTATGTATTAAAGGTGGGGTAGGTAATTTTGGAGAAACCAGCTCGAGTGCGCTAGAATTTGAAAATACACAGCCGGAAAAAAACCTGCCACTTCCTTACAGAGCCCCTCCTCCAACACACACGAACGCGCACATGACCAATGAGGGCACGAGATAAGCTTGTGCACAGATGGAAGGCTGACAGGCAGGTAGGCCATCCAGATATTTTAGCCGGGCCGGCTCAGATGATTGGTCTTGCTTTTTACAGTACCACGGCTTCCACAGATGACATTTTGGTATGGATTTTTTGTCAAAGCATTTAATATATTCATTGCTATCGGGATGTTAAGAGCATTCCATGGAATATAACAAAAAGTATATCCGAAATAAATTCAAACTGCTGCGATTCAGTAATACATTGTGCAGCAGCAGGATCACTATTTTAATCTACTGCCATAAAGTGAGTCCGGTACTAATCTTTTGCTGGAGCTCTATTAAATAATTTGAAGCTCGACCTTTGGTATTCCTCCAATGTTATTAATCTTAATGCTTTCTTTTGCTTTGCTTGTGACACACTCCACAATGATCAATCCACTAATCAACTAATTGTGACACACTCCACAATGATCAATCCACTAATCAACTAAATGTACATCGCCCAGTTTGTCCATGATCGAACCTGCCATATCATGCTTGTCAGACAGAAGTCCAGCCATATTGCTCCCAGTCAGTTTTATACCAGCCAAGTATGTTTTTTCTTTGTTGTCTTTATTATCACTATTACTTGACAAATGTTCTCTTTCCTTCTTTTTCCTTCCTGGTTTAGACCCCTGCTCCTTTCCACACTGCAGGAATTTATAGCAATGCTGCCCAGTCCATCTGAGGTCAGGGGAGAGAAGACTCTAAAGATGGGTGGCTTAGGTGAAGTGGCTTCTTTAAACACCCCTCAAGTTTAAAGGGAATGGCACAGTCCAATGAACCAGGCACATCTACAAGGGCAGGTGATCTGCAAGATACTGACAAAACTTGGGTTAACACAACACACAATTAATAATCACTAAATTACAACAGATTGCTTGCACTCAATCTAGTAAATTAAAGTTGGTTTAAAATGTGTCTGTGTATGATGTTAAACAAATAAACAGCATTACCCTTAGGATGTGTGGTTGCTTGTGAGGCTTGTAGTTACAGGGTTATATCACATCTAACTACACTGCCCGTCCCAAAAAAAAAGTTGCACACTGATGTTTTGTTGGACCGCTTTAGCTTTGAGACCGGCACCCAGTCACCGTGGCATCGTTTCGATAAGCTTCTGAAATGTCACAACATTTGTTTCCGTCAAGAGTTGCATGAATTCTCCGCCAAGATCTTGTATTGATGATGGGAAAGTCGCACAGAGTCTTCTCCAGCACATCCCAAAGATTCTCAATGGGGCTGAGGGCTGTACTCTGTGGGGGCCACTCCATGTGTGTGAAGCAAATCTCATGCTTACTTAAGCACTCAATGTGAGCCAGATGAATCCTGGCATTGCCATTTTGAATATGTCCGTGCCATCAGGGAAGAGAAACTCCATTCATGGAAAGACCTGGTCATTCAGTATATTCAGGTGGTCAGCTGACCTCATTATTTGGGAACATAACGTTGCTGAACCTAGACCTGACCAACTGCAGCACCCCCAGATCATAGCACTGCCCCTCAAGGCTTGTATAGGCGCTAGGCATGATGGGTGCATCACTTCATCCACCTCTCTTCTTACACTTATGTGCCCATCATGCTGGAACAGGGTACATCTGGATTAATTGATTTGGTTTTAATAATGCGTTGGACAGTTCTTAACCCAATGTTAGTAGTTTTGGGAATCTCCTTAGTTGTTTCTTTGTTGATGTAGGCCAATCATTTGACCCTTCTGAAACATCCTTTCTACGACCGCAGGATATGTCTTCCGACATGGTTGTTTAAGAAATTAGAAGCTGGGGTTAAATAACTTATTGCAAGCTGAAACACATTAAGCACTGCAGTAATTATCCAATGGAAGGCTCTTACAGATTTGCTTAATTAAATCCAATTGGTGACAATTTTTTTGGAAGGGCAGTGTAAATAAATAATACAGACCTACATAATTCTTAAAATGTTGCGAGGCTGACCAGAGGTCCTTCGACGCTGTCACTTCTTAGCGGGTTAGATCTCCATGGTAACTTATGCTGAAAGGCTAGCCTGGTCCAGAGCAGGTTAGGTTCCAGCATAAGAGATCAACTCTGTGAAAGCACCGCCTGCTGACCAATCAGAGCTCTGTGTGCGGAGTTTAAAGCTATCAAGTCATATTACAGGAGAAAGGAAATACAGAAAAACTGCCGTTGCAGGAAAGATGGCCGGCAAAAATCACCGACTGTGAACGTGAAAATTAATAGAATATCACCTCCCATCTTTAGAGCAATCTGACTATTATAACATTAGTGTTAAGAAAGCTTACTTAATGTGGACCTATCATGCTATATTTGAATAATATATTGTAGGGCCATACCTATACAAAACATGTCTGCAAATTTTTTTTTTCAAAACACCAAACAGATCATGCATTTTAGCCATGCCTCATTTCGCTCTATTTGCTCTTTTTTAGCCCTGATTTTAGCCCTGTTTTTACAAGGGCTGATTCTGTGAGAAGCCTTCTTTGCTGCTTTTGTGGCAGACTACAGTGCCACCTACAGGCCTGGCATATGTACTACAGCGTCTCCAGCGCTTTCGAACTGCAATGGCCGCGGCTGTCTCCTCCTGATAGGTGGAGAGTTGCCCATATAGGCGGAGCTCCTCGTTTCTGACGTCAGAGAATTTTCAAATCTGTATCAGATCCGTTGCAGCCCCGTTTTTATAGATTTTGGTATGGAGGAAAAGAGAGAGGGTTGTGTTTTCTGACACTTGGTGAGTTCCCTGACACACCGGGGACACATATTCATGTATAAAAGACGTACAAAAGTGCATTTTTGCATGATAGGTCCCCTTTAAATATCTGTCACAAGTTAACATAAGTAGGATCATAGTAACATTACGTACAGTCCGCGGGACAGTGAGTGCAGACGTCGATGTGTCCCATTATCATTCATATCACATCATAATGTATCATATACAGTATGTCCTTATCTGAGTCAGCTTCTTGAGCCGTATCTGGCCGTGCAACACTTACAGCTGCATACTGTATGCCGAAGTATTATTTTAAGCAACACATTAAGTTGACGAAACACTCAAGTCAAATGTAATTAAAGTCAGATCCACTCGTGTCTTAGATGGGGGGCAGTGAAATCATAAACCTGTTAATGTACACATTCAAACACTTTTTCTTTTACCAGCTGTATTCACCTTGCAGGTGCAGCTAGCTTTTATCCTGTAAAAGTGTTTAAGTCATGGATGTTTAAAGTTTAACTTCTTCATATGTCTAATATTATAGTTGACTTTTCATTCAGGAAGTATGACGCTCTGCGCTGTCAGTACGCTTGTCCATATTTGTGATTGGTCGNTGTTACCGGCCACCCTGTTACTATTTTTCACAGTAACAAGGTGCACACACAGTAACTGGGGATGGTAAAAAATTATAATTTTTAAGCATAATATCCTGAGCTTGACCAAAATATTTTTCATTCAGATTAAATTTAAAAAAAAACATGGACATTTTCTTTTTTTTTGAATACCCTAGCTGAAATGGCACCGAATGCTAGGAATGACCCAACCACGTTATTCTTTTTAAACCTACATTTACCTAGATTCCTTGAGTTCAATTCAAAAAGCTACAGTTACAGTAAAGCTACAATGAACTCATAGTTTAGTCTGTTTTTGATATAGCCCAATACCACAGATCACATATTTGCCTGAATTGGCTTGGCTTTACCCCCAACCATAAAACAAAATCTCCATCAGGAAAAAGCTCAGCAAGAGTGACCCTCTCATGACGGATGCTATAGCAAAACTACAGCCCTAACCCTAACCCTAATCAGAATTGAGTCTTTAGGTATTACTCAAAGAAGGAGAATGATACTGTACCTCCACATATTCTTCCTGATGGCTGTCTATGAACTGAGCGAGCTCTGTATACTGGAAGGCCTGGACAGTGGAGACGACCAGCAGTAAGGAGAGAACAGCGGGGAGATTCATCTGTTGGACAATCAGAAAAGACATTATTGATACTGCAGAGGACTGTCTAAAAGATCTTGACTTTGTTTGAATATAACTGCACAAACAGAATACTGCCAATGTTGTCCCCACCATATTTTAAAAGTATAACTAATACATGTTCTGAAAAATAGCGTGCACAAAGAAATGTAATAAACAAGAACAGTGATTTTGTGTCAAGATGTACAATTTGTACATGTTAGTAAACTTTTAATAGAAAATAGAAATACGAACATTGCACTGCGCAACAGCAGGGCACAGGCACTACACTTTAAACAACAGGTAACCAAAAAGAATTCATAAATAAAAAAGGCCTATTACAGCAGAGGAAGAAGGTAATGTTTTCAAATGCCTTTCGTCTAAAACCTAAAGATATTTAGTTTAGAGAGATAAATTACTGTTATAAGATAAGATATACTTTATTAATCACAAATCGGTCAATGTTTTTGTTGCATCAGCATGTAAAATAAGTATCGCAGATAATTAGAAATAAAAAAGAATAGAAAATAAACAATTATACAATAAACATCTCAAATTAGAAGATAAAGCAGAACTAAAAGAGTGAAAATGTAGAAGTTGACTATAGAAATATGTAAATTATCTGATGAATAAAACACTATTGACAGGCTAAATAACAGCTAACATCATATCAAATTGGGATATTATTTACATTTAGTGTGCAAGAATGACATATTAAATTAAAGTTAAATATAAAATGTACAGTGAGAAGTTAGAAGTCCAGATAAAAAAGAGAAACTATGGAGCATTGAGTTCTCGGCCAGCCAGTAGTATTGCTGTATCTGTCCTTGTAACTAAATGTCTTTAAGTTATGAAGAAATGTAGGGATATTTAGTCAACAACAAAAAATCAATCATTGCAGTTAAACGTTTGACATTTTTCTCTGTGTGACCACAGGCCCAAGTGTCACATTTAGGATATTTATTCTTTTTTTTTTTTTAAATCAAGCATTAGTAAAAAAACAGGTCTTTAAAAATACCTTGTTTCCCAAAAACACACATCAAAACAACGACTTACAGTACATTGTAACACACTATGGTGAATATTTTCAGAGTGAGTCTTCTGTCTTACCTTGTCTCTGCTGGTGTGTGTGTGTGTGTGTTTGTGTGTGTTTGTGTGTGTGTTTGTGTGTGTGTGTGTGTGACAGTCTCTCAGGCAGACGGACTGTGGCCCCTTTTTGTTGCCTGAACATTTATATACCCTCCTTCATACCACGCTCCCACTGAGCCTGGGGGTCACAGTCAAACATTTCCTGACACAGCGCCAAGACAGCTGACAAATTAATTGTATTTGCTGACAGGCGCAAGAATCAAATATTGATCCTGCTCAAAGAATGCCCAGGGTTCAACAGGAACAAAGGCAGCGAGCTCCTGCTGCTAAAGCAGCTTTTCATGTTTCCTTATTAAGCAGGTGTCCCATTGTGCTGGGCCTCAGGTTAACCCACTTGTAAGCATTCCTAGTTGACAAGCAGCTCCATTAGATTCAAACCCCTAAACAGGTTTGACTGAACATGTTTAATCCCATCACCTTTATGTTCATTGGATAAATTGTCCTTGGTAAAAACATCCGGTCTCTTTCTGTTTGTCCCAGTGTGAGACAGGACCTGAGCATAGGGATTTGTCACACTCACATTCAAATAAAACTGACGGGATCAAAACAAAGTAAGCCTTTAGCTAGAACTGAATTACTCTGTGGGCATGTTTGCTT